CGACTACTGCAATAGCATCCTCTATGGCATACCATCCAACCTCCGCAATAAACTCCAACATATCCAGAACTCTGCTGCCCGCCTCCTCACCCTCACCCGCTCCCGAGACCACATCACTCCCGTCCTCCAGAACCTCCACTGGCTCCCCGTCCGTCAAATAATCAACTTCAAAGTCCTGCTCAAAACGCACAAAGCCCTCATCAATCAGCCAACCTCCTATCCATCCCCACCCACATCAATCACAGGACCTGGGGGGACAGAGCCTTCTCCGTTGCTGCCCCTCCCTCTGGAACTCACTCCCACAACCCATCAGAGACTGCACTGACCTCAACACCTTAAAAAAACTCACAAAAACTCCCCTCTTCAATCTGGCTTTTAATGTGTGATTGTTCTTGTATTGCTTGATTTTAATACGAATTTAACTATATTTATTTGTTGTTCTTTTATTTTCACTATCTTTGTAAAGCGACTTTGAGGACCTGTAAAAGCGCTAACAAAATAAATCTATTATTATTATTATAAGTCAAAGAAATACATTGTGCTGTATTGAAAAATACTTGAAATGTGCGGTTGAGACGTGCAAGGACAATTTTTACTCAGGTTATAAATCAAGTGAGTAGTAGGGCTTTTTAATATCTTTTGCGCATAGAGAAATGAAACAATTATTCCAGAGAATGACTCATACATTAAAGATGCGGATAACTTCGACTACAGTCTTACAGAATTACTGAGTTTTTCCTGCAAATGTATAACTTTATAATCTGAGTTTTTCTTTTAAATGTAATTTTTCCGTTGTCGATTTATGTCTACAAATTATTGCCAGAATATAACCCCCCTCCCCGGACTCAGATGTGTTTATTTACATACACTGGCCCAAATCAGCTGTATTCAAGGCCTCATTATGACTTTTTGAAAATGTAATGATATATTTTTACACAGAACATTTTCTTTGGTAGGTTTGGACCCTCATCCCTAACATTAAAAGTTCATCAGAATATTTTGATAGCAACCAAAACCTATTTTATTGTTGACATGAGTGAAAAAGATCGCTGTTGTGACATCCCACCCTGTGCTTCCATCGACAGGTGAAGGTGCAGGGCAAGGACGTCACCTTCGCTCTTAAAGTCATCAAGAAGAAGCACGTGGTGGACAACAGGCAGCAGGAGCACATCCACTCGGAGAGGAAGATCCTCGCCGAGGCTCGCTCGCCCTTCGTCGTCAAGTCAGTCCCCTCGCTCAGCCTCCGAACACATTTCCATTCTTTATCCCACAGGATAAAGCTTTTCCCCATTAGTCGGGAAAGCAGTGCCCCGCTTATTAGTTTTTGATGAGATCACAGTGTAGGCTTCGAACAGATTACATCCTCTCCACGGGGTAGAATGGCAGGGGATATTAAGATGTCCGCTTTGAAAATGTAGTTATTTCTCATGAAATATTGCAGCAGTAGCTTTTCCTTGCCTTTTGTGAGATTACAATGATCCAATTTTACTGTACGCAGTGGAACAGACATAGATATTAAAGCAATTTTTTAGCTTCTGAAAGGCTACTGCTTTTGAACTCCTCTTCATACACTCAATGTATTTATTTCACAAAAAAATATGTTTTAACTATTATCTCTTAGGTTGTTTGAGCAATTTACTCAATTTACCACGAGGGTCAATTCATGTTGACACTTTTACAATAACAATAATTTGAGCAGTCATTGCTTCTATTATACTTTCTGAAGTGATGTTTTTTGTAGCTAAAAACACGCAGACGTGCCTTATTTCATTTAGGACAAAAAATGTATCTGATGCACATGGTGCATTGGTGTCACTCATCGGATGGTCACCGTTCCCAAATTGGAAATTCATTCTTCTGACTTTGGTCTGTTATGGACGCAACAAATACTTTATTTTGTAATGTATTGCTCAGGGCATTTAAAGAACTTTAGGTTGTGTTCACGTTAATATCCCTAGCACAAACCTTTTCCAAAAAAAAGAAAAAAAAACTAACTCCCTAACCCCATTTATATAAGTGATACATAAATGCATTTATAATGTTAATTGCTAAAAAGAAAATTCATTAAAAACCCCAAAACATACTATAATGAATTGAAATATTGAAAACTGGAGCTGTATTCAATCATTTAGGCATCTTGCTTTCTGTTAATGATCATTAGCTCTTTCTGCATTTTACCAAATGAAGGCTAATGTGGACTATTTAGGCAAATTATTATATAATGTAACCGCTCTCTTCTAATGTTATAATTACATTTAACGGGAAATAATTAGAGACACTTTCCGACAATTCTCTAAGCGGTTCTCGTTTTAGACAGAGGGTGAAATGAGGTGCAGTATGAGAAAAATAAAGCATGGTTTGAACTTTAAAGCATTAAAAACACATCACAGTAGAGGCACACAATACAATTATGAACCTGAAAAAGAGCATAATATGTCCTCTTTACCTTTTCCTTGCATCTCTCCCTCTAGACTTTACCGCACATTTAAGGATGACAAGTACGTGTACATGCTGCTGGAGGCCTGTCTGGGTGGAGAAATTTGGAGTCTGCTCAGAGACAGGTAGGAGAAAGTAACACTTACAAAATTCCCACATTTTACTGAAAAAACATCATTTTATTTCTGACTCGTTGCATGAAGCAAAGGTATTACTTTAAGGTTAGCATAATGAGACACCCTTTCCTGGAAAAGCAGGTCCAGCGGTCGTAACTCACTGAACACGGGCAGCCTGTGTTCAGGTGCATTTGTGTAATAAGACCACTTCTGCTTCTCTGCCTCCTTAACAGTGGGGGATCTGACCCTGCCTGTCAGCAAAAAAGTTCAAATGTGTCTTTCTTGTGTTTAGAGGGAGCTTTGATGAGACCACTGCTAAATTCTGCGTTGGTTGCGTCACAGAAGCTTTCGATTACCTCCATCGCAAAGGTGTTCTCTACAGAGACTTGAAGCCTGAGAATCTCATGCTGGATACTGAGGGATACATCAAACTGGTGAGTCTGAAATGAATACTTCACCCACAAAATGATCATGTTTATATCAAATACTCTACTACCCTATGTTATCATCAATTTTTAGGAACTTTCTTTTTACCTCATCAAAAAAAAAGATACCCCCTCTGGCGCGTATTTGGGATTTTAGCCTTTGTAGATCATTTACATGCAGGAAAACCTATATAACACACCACAGGAAAGGGAAAACCCCATCATTTCATTTCATCAAGGCTTTTCTCTGTTTCTGATTCTTTAACCATGTTGAATAACTTTCATCATTTGACATGTTTCCTTTTGAGTTAAAAATACAGTAGTGTAATATTCTGTTAAAGGCTGTGATTTTTCTCAAAAATGTATGTAGGATCCTTATAAAGTTTGTTAGGAACCCTGCTTAGCTCACTCTGGAGAGGGAACTTTGGAATTGTAGCATTTGCAGACCATTAACATGAACATATATAAACCTATATAACACAATATAAGAAAGGGTAAACCCCATGATGCCTAATTTACTTAGAGTTAACTGCTCAACTCTTCCTACCCAGGTTGACTTTGGTTTTGCAAAGAAGATAAGATGTGGCCAAAAGACGTGGACCTTCTGCGGAACACCGGAATACGTGGCCCCTGAGATCATCCTCAACAAGGGCCACAACTTCAGTGTGGACTTTTGGTCTCTGGGCATCCTGGTGTTTGAGCTCCTCACTGGCAGGTCAGTCATCTGTGCTTCCAGTCTTTATCAAGGCTGTGTCATAGTCAAGCATCATATAATCGGCCTTCTTCTTGATATCAATTCAATCTCCTTCCTGGTTTGCAGTGCTAATCAGTTGCTGATTTGAACAGAGTGCTGCTGAAAAGCTTCCGTCTAACAGACCTCAGCTCAATCAAAGAAATGAAATCTCTGCCTTTGTCCTCCTACTCTTTACAGTCCTCCGTTCTCAGGGAGCGACCAGATGATGACATACACTTTCATCCTGAAAGGCATTGAGAAGATGGACTTCCCCAAAAAGATCACCAAGAGACCCGATGACCTCATACGCAAGCTGTGCAGGTACAACATCACATGGGCAAAAACAAAGTTAGACTCCTCCAGTTTACCACTGATGCCACATGCACATATTTAAGAAAAGAAGCTGATGGAGTATAGGTATTACAGAAACATGTTTAGTAAGTGCATTTAAGAAAATGTTTGTTTTAGTAGAGGAATGTATATAATAAAGAACTGCACTGACTTCAGGTTGAGGTAAAGGTTAGGGTTAGGCCAAAGACCCTTTAATGATTTCTAGAAAACTGACAAAAATGTCAGCAGCACCATTGTTAGGTCTGTATGGCAATGGAAAGAGGGCTATCATAACATTGTTAAGTTGATATAAGATAGGAAGTATGAAAGGATAAGACACAGCCATGACTTTAGGAATCACTTCTGCAATAGGAATATTGTTTAGTTATTTTGAACTATAGTGTCACGGTTTGTGAAACAAGCAGGACCCAAATGCAGATATAAACTGAAAATTCCTTTATTTCAAGGCTATGATATATATATACATACAATGACAAAACAGAACACTCACCGCAGAACTAGTCATGGAACAAGACGAACCGACCAAGACAGACAGACAACCCAGAACTTAAATACACACAAGACTCAATCACACAACAAGACACAGGTGAGGAGGGAGGAGAAAACACAGGGGCCCAGGTGAACATAATCAGACAATTAGACACACCAGGGAAACTAATCATGCTTGGCCTTGTTATTTACCCCGGGTCGTCTAGGCAATCTCAGCTTAATAATGTAAAAACGAAAAAAAACCGATTGCGAGCCTATCACCTTCTCCCGTGGGCCTAAGTCGTCGTCCCCGACACAACAGCCTCCGCCGTCTACCGATCTCTCTTTGGTCCATACCACTTCAAGTAATGGACCGACCTAAAGTTTCTAGGAGGGACACAACACTAAGGCCCGGACGATCGGGGTCCGAACCGATCAGGGCCGGAGGGTTAGGGTTGGACCGGTAATGCGGAGGCACCCAAGGCAGACGTCAAGTTGGGTACGAAGACGGGGTCCAAGGACGAGGGACAGGTCCTCCAAGTAAAACCTTGAGCAGACCGAATACCTCAGGTGCCAACATAAGTCCGGACGATTCTCCTCCTCAAGCGTTCCGGGTTCGATCGTCTGAGTTCGGGTTCTCGGTACAAAGGCCGAGGTCTTGGCCTGTGAATGTCGGTACAAAGGCCGAGGTCTTAGCCTGAATGTCGGTAACAAAGGCCAGGTCTTGGCCTGGAATGTCGGTACAACGGCCGAGGTCTTGGCCTGGAATGTCGGTACAAAAGGCCAGTCAACGGCCGGGTGGTGTCAGTACAAAAGGCCGAGGTCTTGGCCTGGAATGTCGGTACAAAGGCCGAGTCTTTGGCCTTGGAATGTCGGTACAAAAGGCCCCAGGTCTTGGCCTGGAATGTCGGTACAGGGCCGGAAGTCACGCCGAGGTCATTGGTACCAGGGTTGAGTCGTGGAGCAGAAGGACAACCGACAGCAGGCTGCGGTCGATGGGGTACAGGACAAGTCGTATGGCCGCTGAGGTCGTGGAGCAGAGGCCTAACGCAGGCAGGCTCGGTCGAGGGGGCACAGAACAGCCGTATGGCCGGCTGAGGGTCGTGGAGCAGAGGACAACCGACAGGCGGCTGCCGGTCCGAGGGGCCCAAGATAACCGCTTGGTTGGGTGAGTTCCAGCAACCTCCAGGGCGGTCTGATGGGGCGACGGCTCCCAGGACGGTTGGGTACAGGAACGGCAACCCTCCAGGGCGGTCTGAGGTACAGAACAGTGCACCTCCAGGGCGTCTGACGAGAAAGACGGCTCACAGAAGGTTGGGGTACAGGACCGCATACCTCCAGGGCGTTCTGATGAGAAGACGGCTCCCAGGACGGTTGAGGTACAGAACAGTTCAACCTCCAGGGCGTCGTGACGAGAAGACGGCTCCCAGGACGGTTGGGGTCAGGACACAACCTCTTCAGGCGTCATGATGAGAAGTCGTGTCCATCCTCTTTCAGAGGAACGGTTGAGGTATAAGAACAGTGCGACTTTCTGGGCGTCTGACGAGAAAGACGGCTCACAGGCACGTAGCTTGGTTACAGGTACACGGCAAACTTCCAAGGCGTATTACTCTGGATGAGAAGACGGCCCCAGGATGTGAGGTCAGGACAGCGCAACCTAAGGCGGCTGACGAGACGACTACGTGCCCGTAGGACGGCTAGGACACAGCGATAAGGTACACATATACGGCTGTGGCCGAGGACGACGGCCAGGAATTGGCCTCGACAGACCAGAAGTGGGGGAGGAGCCTGGAGACGGAACAGGGTCGGCTGGCTCTAAGGGAGGTACTACTGAGACCAGCACGTGTGCCCGGCAGACTAGCTAAGGTGGACGATTTGAGACGGAACCACGCAGGTGTCTTGGGCAGGCAGGTCTGGGGGAGGTGGCGTGGGTCCACTGAAGACAGATATCCGTCTAGACCTTAGGACTAGAGTACTACCTATGACTCCCTATGTAGTTGCCACTCGAGTACTAATGCAGTGCAAGTATTATTACTAGTTCCAAATATAGAATATGACGATGAATGGAGTACAATTAGTAGACAATAACAGTCCAGGAAAAGGGACACAAAAAT